AATCCCCAACGTTCTGTGATTCTGTGATTCTATGTGTGGGAATGGCTCAAAGCTTCACCAGAGGAGGTTCAGACTGTACATTAGGAAGCATTTCTTTACCTAAGAGGTACCTTTTAGGTAAGAAGAGGGTGGTCAAACACTGCAACAGGCTTCCTGGAGAGGTGGTCAATGCTTCAAGGCTGTCAGTATTTCAGGAGGCATTGTCCAAATGCCCTTAGCAACATGCTTTAGCTTTTGGCCTGAAGTGGTCAGGCAGTTGGACTAGACAATCTTGTAGGTACCTTCTAACTGAAATATTCCATTCATTCCATTCCATTTTGTTCCATTCCCTTCCATCTTTCTTTCCCTTCCACTCTGAACATATATGCAGTTTTCCCGAGGGCATGCTTCTTCATGTTTTGTAGCAGCAGAGTCATGGATCTGAAGCCTTTGGAAAGGAGGAGGGGAATGGATAGTTTGACAGGAAAACTGTCACAGTAGCAGTGCTATTATGCAATGCCTTGCCTTCCTTTCATTTCTGTTGTTGTTTTCTCCTGTATGGAGGAAGTTCACCATAGTGCCAGAGGTGGTAAGCTGGCTGAGTTTATTAATCAATGTTCAGGGCAGTGTCTCAGTTTTAATGGTAATTACTCACTGGAAAATATTTTAAGTTTTAAAACAAAACTTAAGAATAGACAAGGGGAAGCTACCTATGAGATGGAAGAGGTTAGTGATTTCTTTACCAATCTTGCAAAAAAAAAAAAAAAGGGGGGGAAGATATGTGGAGTGTGAAGAATTGGGGAAGTGAGATATTCAGTGATCCCAGAGTCTCAATTTTAGTTCATGAAATATAATGAAAGATAAAAGAGAATGAAGAGAGAGTACAATATTAAATATGTGTTTAATAAGATGAGAAGTGAAAGAATACAAGACCTGTAGAAGTCTAGAAAAGAAATGGCTTTGAATATAGCCTAGAAATAGGTAATAGAGGAGGTGTCACTACAAGGATGGTAGTAGCTACTGAGGTGATTTTCGTTTATTCTACATAAAGGGGATTGAAGAGAACTAACAGCAGTTGGTAAAAGTCTGAAGCATTAGAAATCATCCACTTTATGGAACTTGATCAGTTATTAAAATGCATAGGTTCTGTACTTTGTTTTGCAATTGCTTTAGTGTGTTGTGTTTCATAGTTCTACTTGCTTTTCATTAATCTTCAGGGTGAAAGGAACAATGGCTTTGATGTCCTCTACCACAACATGAAACATGGGCATTTGTCAACAAAAGACTTAGCAGACTTTATAAGAGAAAGGTAAGTGGTCATCCTTGGTAATCCTGGCTCTTTAATATATTGTTTGGGGTTTTTTTTTTAAGTTTATCATTGCGGTTAACAGTAACATGAAAAATACTTAAAAATCAATGAGATTTCAAAAGATTCCATGTCCTGCAAGAATATTTTAGTTTATTCCATTCACTCAGAACTGAGTAGTGACTCTGGAGCATCAGAGTCAGCTTCCAATTTTTCAGGTTTGAATTAGAAAACAAGAGTAAAAAGCTAGAAATGTCACAGTAGGTGTCCAGCAGTTTATTTAAATTAACCATTATTTCTTTATCATGTTTGAAAGAAAAGCAATAATTTAAAGTAGAAAAAATTATCAATATTACTAAGTTTCTGAGCACAGATGTAGGGTATTAAAAACTGCTAGTATGATCTCAAAAAAAAAAATTACTCTTTCAGATTAAGATGTTGAGAGACTAGGTTTGTGAAAGAAAAAGTGATATGTAGGGATGAGAAAATAATATGCAGAAAATCACACAGGTTCTTTATGGAATTAATAATGCAATAATAATGGTAATAATAAAGTGATGCACAGTGCAGTTGCTCACCACCTTCCGATCAAGCCCGTTATCCGTTCCTGAGTAAGGATGCTGGAGCAGCGACAACCTCGAAACCAAAAACTGCAATCCCAGAAGAGCGAGAGCCTGAGAGAGAGAGAGGCAGACCCTCATTAATACACTGAACATGATTTTATTTGATATGTAATATCCCACTGGCATATCCAAGTGCCAGTTTGGATTTGCTAATTTGAATATTTGCCTGCAGACTGGCAAAACACAGGGAAGTTGGAAAGTCCTTCGTTTTCCAGTAACAGTTGAAGATATTAGTATGTTATCAACGTTCTTCTCTTAGTAAATCCCATACTGAAACCAAAACACCGTGCTGTTATAGCTATTAAGAGGAAAACTGGCTCTGTCCCAGCTGAAAACCAGGACAGGTACTCAGTGCACTGACATTTGCATAGTTTCTAAGTCAGTTGGAGAAAATGACAAAAATATTTCTGCTGAGTAGAAACAGGTGAGTTCCAGAGTCCATGTGTGATGGTCAATCTTCTGCTGGAAGGACTACACAACCCATAGAATCTTGTGTTTCAGGAATCCCTGATTCCAGAGAAGACATGATGAAGTCAGACAGGGTTCCAGTGAAATCCTGTGTTGGATTGAGTGGAGGGATACCACGTTGTTCATGTTTAGTATGAAATGCTTAAGGCTTCACAAGCTTGCACTTTTAATATTGACTGTTATAAATGTTTGCCTTGTGTTATCTTTGCGAGTGCCTGGATCCTTCCTTTGAAATCTGCTTTAATTTTTGGAATCACTCCTGTTTTTATAGCAGGAAGTCATAGACTTAAGCTGCACATCACTTGGACACATTTAATTTTATTAGTTTTACATCTGTTGCATTTTGATTTACCTCCATATTTAGATCAGAAGCTCTCTCACTCACTTTGCTTCTTATCCCCTTTATGTTGTATTCTTTGGGCATGCTCCATTTTATTCATACAGGTCCTGAGATGAAAGGTCTTATGTAGATGGGTAAAAATAACTTGATGTTATATCTTGCTTGGATTCTTTGCTTTATTTTAGTGATATAAATAAATTTGACAGTTCATTCTACACAAAATTCCTAGTAAAAAGAATGTGTCATTCTAGGTTTTTTCACTCTGTTAGCTCCTCCAAATTAAATCTTGAATTTTAAATTAGATCTGCCTTTGCAATTAATAAATAAAATATTTGGACCTTTCTCCACATATTAAAAATGTTTTAGCTGCAGTTTTTTATAATTAATTCTAATGATCTGTCAAGAAGGAGATATAATTCTAATATCTGTCAATATTTTTTTTCCCCAGATGAACAAGTTTAAATAACATTTAAGACTAAAGATTAATGACCATGTAGGAGTAGTTGAGAATCCACATGGGCACTTCAACCTCAGTGAGAGGTCAAGAAATGCATTTTCTTTTCTTGTGCATGGATAGCATGTGCCAAGGTGATATGCAACCATCTCACAGCATTTTTGGTAAAATATGTGAGAAATTTCAGTTCTCATTAACATACTGAGATTCACTAGAATCTTAGTGCTACATTTTAGTTTATTTGACAAGACTTCAGTATAGTTCCTTAAGAGCAGCTTTCCGTGGGATTGGAAAACATCTGTCAGTGATGTAGACCAGCAGCAGTAAGTTCAGTGACCTCCTCCCATTAGGATATTAAACCTGGTAGCCTGTCTGTTCCATTGTGTTTTCTTCAGCCCCGCTTTACTGATGCATTTCAGTATGCCAGGCTGCTATTTAAAAAAGCAATTGAGTGCCAAATAATTGGTACTTTGCAAGTTAGGGGTGCCTCACTGATCAATCTCAGTCTAAGCTAGTGGAAGTTTGTGGCATATAGTTTGTTGTTTCAAAGAAATAGACTTCAAACATCTGATGTCCTCACTTTAGTAAAGAAGTTTATGATTGTCTATATCTAGACAGGGAAGCCCTTCACTACTTGTGGTGGTTTGACCCACAGTGGGACCATGTGGTCCTCCATTTACTTGCCCCCCCCCAGTGAGATGGGATGGGAGTCACAACACAGGGGACACGGGGTTAGGAATGAAGGACAGGGACAGCTCACTCACCAGTTATGGCCACGGGCAAAACAGACTCAAACTTGGGAAGAAAAATCAACTGAATTCATTGCAAACCATCTGAGTAGACAAAACAACCACATCTTACAACACCTTACCCCACCCCGAGGTTCAGTCAGTTCACCTCTGCTGCTCTTCCTGTCATGGAAGTCCAGGAAAAAGATGTTCCAACATGAGCTTCCCATGGAGTCACAGACGTCTTCAGATTCAGCTCCCATCTCCAGCATGGGGGCATCCATGGGCTGCATGAGACTTTCCCCCCACTCTGGGGGTCCACTCCCCACTCTGACTTGGGGTCCCAGTTCCAGTCACACCTGCCCTCATGCTCAACTTCTCCGCTCCAGCATGTGGAGACCCACGTGCTCCATGGCCCACACGTGGGTTTCTGCTCCGCCGTTGATCTTCATGAGCTGCAAGGCTCTTTTTTCCTTCTCCTACTCCATCAGGTGAACTGGGTGTGTGGATCTGTCTCTTCTCTTTACTCTGGCAACAAAGCTCTCTCTGTGTCTGTCTGTCCTTTTTTTAGGCCGATGGTCATCTTTTTTTAGGTCAGTGGCCTCTCCTCCAGGTTCTTTCCACCTTCTTCTTTTCAGGACAGTCCTTCCCCTCACCAGTATGGATTTGCAGAGGCGTTTCTGTGGTGCTTATTGGCCCAGCCTGGGCTGGGGGAGTCTCTGCCTTGGAGCCAGGGGAGCTTTTTGCTCTCACAAGGTGACCCTTCCCCCACTACCAAAAAAATGGCTCTTTCCCCCCACAAAAAACCAACCAAACAAACCCAACACACTACTGTTGTGAAGTTACTGTGGGATGTCAGTCGATTTCCCAGGCAATAAATATGGTTCAGTAGCACACACTTATTCACATGGCTTAAATTCTTGATCTCAAAAGAAATTGAATTGGGCAGTGTTTCACAGTGTTTTACAACAGTCCAATAGTCTCCACCATGTTCTTCTTTGCATCTTTGTTTATTGCAAAGAAATTAAGAGGTATTGCACACAATTGTCTGTTCCTTTCCTTCCTCCACAGAGTGTAGTCTGAATATTGTTTTCTGCTAGAAATATGTAAGTGGATGAAAAACATGTATTAGGAGACACCTAGGTTTAGCATTTTTATGCCCTGACTCCTATGTACCTGATTTTCTGACCTGTTCTCTAGGAAAACTAAACTTACATATGTTTGAACTTTCTTCACATCTGTCCTTCCATATCAGGACACGTGTCTGTATGAAGCCAGTCTCTGTTACTTGTGCTGTTCAGAATTGTGTTTTGCTTTCATGCAGTCTAATCTTCTCCAGCCTTAGAAATAGTAATGAAAAAAGAAAAATATATAGGATATTGGAAAGTGTGGGTTTTTTAATTATAGTCAGCCTCAGGGTTTTTTAAAGATTTTTCTTTCAAAACTTCTTTAAGAACCTTCTGAAATTGCCAAGTTTTTTGCTCTGAAAAAAACCAAAAAAGTTTGTAATGTGTTTATTTATATTAATATTTCTATACTGTATTTGCTGTTCCAACTGGATGTCCCTAGATGGAGAAGAAAGTTTCCTCCTTGGCTGTGTTCAGTTAGTCAATACCAATTCAGTTTTCAGTTTTCAACAGTATTGTTTCACTTTTTCATTTTTATTTTTTAGTATTTGTTAATAATCAGGTACTAAAAGAACTGGGAGACAATTGGATCTGTGGTTCCCAAATATGTCGCCTGAAAGAGTGAATTTTGTGTCAGGCAGTCTGCTCAATGATGGTAAATCTTGGGTGGGGCTGTATATCTGCTGAAAGACATCTCTGTTCTGTTCTTGAAAAAGCATGTAGAAATTTTGTTTTCAAAGAAGTGAAAATATAAAACGGTTGGGCTGCCCCCATAAGTTGTTGGGGGTTTTTTTTAAATGCTGAGAAGATTCTGTAGGTGCAGTCTTGTGTTTGTGTGTATTTAATACGTAAGTTGTTTGCATGTAAGAAACCACTGTGCTCAGCTAGGAAGTAAATAGGTATTGTGTTGGCTTTTCTCCAGAAGTCTGTGAAAAGTTTTTCTGCACTACTAGCCTGTTAAGTGTCATAGAATATCCTTGGTCAGAAGAAACTGGCAATGCATATGTTCCTGTTTAACTTCTAAGTGTTTAGTGGATTCCAGGCAAAGACAGATTTTCAGCTAGGTGAAAATTAATTTACTGGGGTGTTTCATAGTCTGTGACCTGTACATCAGAGTGCTCTGGAAAGTCAGTTGATAGGACAAATGTAGATATACAGACCCAGCTGGTCAGTAACAGCATCTTTTGGTTGGTTGTGTTTGAAACTGTTGTATGTTGATACTGTGTGGTAAATTGAGGAACTCCAGTTTTGTGGAGATTGCTCAGGTAAGTACGCTGTAAATTGCTCCAAAGAAAAGAGATACGGATTTTGGTCAGAAATCTTGTGTTTAAAAAAAAAAAAAAAAGAAACCTAAACAAAAAAAGGCACTGAGCTATCAAATCTAAAAAGCTTTGATAGAAATAATTGATAATTAATCAAAGTATTCACTGTGGTAATTAAAAAACATCGGTGTCTCTTCTGTGTGTCCATGCATATGTACTTGTTGCTGTGCACTGAGCAAGATTTCCAGACCTTGTAAACTTAAACTTTTTCTTATCATCAAAAATACGTACATATGTGGAAGGAGTTATATGACTTTTTTATGGTGAATAACTTTTTCACTTTTGTAGGTAAAATTTAAAATGCAATTGAGTTACAGCATTTTACAGTTTAATCCCCTTCTCCAAACTGATTGTACAACTGACTGCATAGTTATTTTGGAAGTTCAGTAGGTTTAAATACGTACCCATCTGTTTCAGTTGGCTACTGCTACTTTGTTTCATATTTTCATTAAAAAATTATTTTTGCTTGGGAAGTGTTGCTGTAAAGGAGAAATAAAAAGCTTTGCCTTGACAATAAGTAATTATAGTCATGATATAACTTGAGAGGGATATATTCTTCATCTCCCTTTTTTTCCTCTCGTTTGCCACTAAATGAAGGTGTTTCACAGCAGGAAATAAATTGCTTCAAGCTTTTGCATTTTCAAGAAAAGGCATTTACTGTGTTTACTCAAATCCAGGATGTTTCTAAATCTAAGTTGACACTACATATTGAATATTGATTTAGGGTCAAAAATTAAAACAGTGTGTCTCTTTACCTTATGTAATAGGAGGATGAGGAAGATGGATGGGGGAGCACCTTGCAGGGAGTCACTGCTGTGATACATTGTGTATGACTGCTATTCCATGGCAATTGCCCCAGCAGAAACTCTTAAAGAGGAGATCTATGATGACCCTTGGATTTTGAAACTCCAAAAGACAAGTAAAATTGTGGGTTTGAGTGTAGGAAAGTTATGAAACTTTATGTAGGGAAGATCCCTTGGTTTTACTTGTTTCTGTTCCCTGCAACATTCTGTCATATGGTTCTTAGATTATTTTTTTACATATACTTCTGTGATTTTGCTTCTAGTTTTTGAGGGGTCATTAAAGTGGAGTCACTTTCAGCTAAAGTAAGAAGTATCCTATCCTAGCAAAAACCAGGACAGAAGTCCTCTCTTTTGTATCTTTAGAATGCATATTTATCTGTCTTCAAATATCTTCAACTATGCTTTTGATGACTTTCTTTAATAGGGCTACAATAGAGGAGGCATATTCAAGGTCAATGGCAAAACTGGCCAAATCAGCAAGCAATTACACACAACTTGGGTAAGTGAGTGTGCATAAGAGAGAAATTATTATGTACATGTTAAGAATCAAATTTGGTTGTGAATATTTTATTGATGATGTTGAAGGCAGTCAAACTTTGCCACCTTTAAAAATGGTTGTTAGTTCCTCAGTAACTGTGCAAAATATCATGCAACTATAACAAAAACAGACAGTACAGTACTTTATTGCAGTTTGGGCTTGTTGGGGTTTTTTTAAAAAGAAAAAAAACCAAAAACAAACAACCCACCCCAAACAGACAGTTCCTCTGTGTTTAAGGTTGAGTTCTTTTCAGACATAATAAAGAACATGACTTTCTATTCAGTGCTCCCAAGCCTATGGTAATTATTGCGGAGGGAACATATGGTCTGCAAATGTGGCAGTATATTTATTTATTTCTATTATTTCCGCTTTCTGGAGTGTTATCTATGTCCTCAGTTCAGAATGAGACTTTTCAGTAGATTTAGTCCATAGTTTAAAGAAAGTTTTATACACATGATATGTTTTTAAAAACTGGAATGATTAATGGACATTCTTTCATTAGAAAGATTATGCCAATGAGTACTCAGACTTCTTAGATGAGGCTAGATTTTTTTTTTCATTTGTGGTAATCACAGCTAGAAAAGTGGAGATCTTTCATTGGTGGATAATTTGATACCAGTTGTTGCTGCTCTTCAAAGGTTTTGTATCTGCATGTTAGTTTGAACATCAGTGCTTAAAACGTTATGTATAGTATTGATTTTTCAGCAGCATTAACCAGGAAACTGAGGTAGGAGTGTTGTCTCTAGAATAGCTGAAGAAGTCCATTCAGTATAGAAATCTGAATCTGAGGAATGACCTGTCCCTCACCTTCCTTTGTCATACGGTTAATCTCTGTTAATTAGTAAATCCCTTTTAGTGGCAGACCATCTTTGCCAATATTTTTTTCCTGTATCTTGTGGCTCTAATGATGTGAGACAACTAGAAACTTAACTAACCAAGTATTTTCTGATTTGTTTGCACTATTCAAGTATATATGTAAAAATACTACTACACGTTAAATTATTTTGAGCTTCTCTTGCATCGGCTTTGAGAATACCACTTGTCATTATTGTGTGCTGATGATAGAGAAGATTAAGTGAACTTTGCTGTGTGTTACTCATTAGAGTCAATACAGGTAAAACATAAACCATGGGAAAATTAGTAGATGAGATTCCAAGTACATTTGAAACACTTAATAAGAATTTGTAGCAGTTGTTGGGGTTTTTGTTTTTTTTAGTTTTAGGAACAGAAGTGAACTTCTGTAAACGTATCAATTATACTTTAGCACTATTAAAAAAAACTCATAGCCAACTAAAAGGAAAAAAAATTGAGAGGAACATTAAATATTATTTTTTTCAATCTAGGACATTTGCACCAGTTTGGGATGTCTTCAAAACCTCTACAGAAAAACTAGCAAGCTGTCACTTGGATCTTGTACGGAGATTACAAGAGCTAATAAAAGAAGTTCACAAGTATGGAGATGAACAAATCAAAGCTTATAAAAAGGTAGTTCTTTTTTTATGCATGTCCAATGACTTCTTAACATGAACATTAAAATGGTTTGGTTTTGACAACCATGTGATATTTGGCAGACTAAAGAAGACGTTTCGGGAACATTGGAAGCAGTGCAAAATATTCAAAGTATCACTCAGGCCTTACAGAAATCAAAGGAAAACTACAATGCAAAGTGTGTCGAACAAGAACGTTTGAAGAAGGAAGGAGCAACACAGAGAGAAATTGATAAGGTAGCTCTGTGACATCTTACTTGTTGTTGTTATTTCATAACATGTGTGATATTCTGAATACTTAGTTATGTTTTGTTTACAGTTACTTCCTTATCTGTTCTAACTGTACTGCAATATTAATTCTTTATTTTGTAAGTATCTACATCATATGATAATTTTGTTTAGTGGCATTTAAAGAACTTTTTATTGAATTAAGGAGTAGGAGGTTTTGTGTTGTCCCTTCAGTGAGACAAAGTAGCTAATTACACAAGTATTTGAAGTCTGCTCCATTAAGGGGAACAAAAAAATTACTTTCAGTAATTTTTCAGTAAGGTTAAAATTACTTTCAGTGCTAATTTATAAGGTTCCAATTTCATGGACCAAAAACCCAAGGGATGAGTATCTTGATGTTGTATTTAGTACTGTCCTTGGGTTATGAAGGAGTCTGATCCATTCACAGAATCACAAAATGTTTGAGGCTGGGAGGGACCTGTGGAGATCATCCTGTCCAACCCTTCTGCTCAGGCTGAGCCACCCAGAGACAGTTGGCCAGGACCATGTCCAGATGGCTTTTGAAGATCTCCAAGGATGGAGTCTCCACAACCTCTCTGGGCAACCTGTGCCAGTGCTCAGTCACCCTCACAGGAAAAAAAGTGTTTTCTGGTGTTCAGAGGAAACCTCCTGTGTTTCTGTTTGTGCCCGTTGCCTCTGGTCCTGTCACTGGGCACCACTGAAAAGAGCCTGGCTCTGTCTTCTATGTACTGTCCCTTCAGGTATTTATATCTATTCATAAGATCCTCCCAGAGCCTTCTCTTCTCCAGCTAAACCATCCCAGCTCTCTCAGTCTTTCCTCATGGGAGAGATCCTCCCAACCCTTCATTTTAGTGGCCCTTTTTTGGACCCTCTCCAGTATATCCATGTCTCTCTTGTAATGGACAACCCAGAACTGGACACAGTGCTACAGGTGTGGCCTCACCAGTGCTGAGTAGGGAGAAAGGATCACCTCCCTTGACCTCCTGGCATCACTGTAACTTTTTCCTATTTTCAGCAAACTGAGTAGTAGAGGAAAGAGGCCGTGTTTCCCTATCTCTAACTATGTCTTCTCTTTTAAAATCTTGATACCTCTGCCTATTTCAGTTTTAATTACCTGACCTGTGTAGGACTCTGTTCTTGTCAGAATGGTCTTAGTGCCTTTTATGCTGCTATCTTGATGAAGCAGATAGAGTTGGTTTATTGTCCCTTCACTGGTGACAAAAGTGATCCTGTTGACCATGTTCTGATTGTTTTATTTTTGATATAAGTCTAGCTTTTTTCCCAGCTCCTGTCTCTAATGACAGTCAGTGTTGGATTCTAGATATCAATCAGAAATATGTGGGTTGTCAGATGTTTTCCTGACAGTCTATTCAAAGTATAATTTTTCTGATTTCTTGTAAACAGATAGAAACTTTTCAGTAGCAAAAACTGACTTGAGGGAAGGCTTATTTTTAAGATATAACATTGTCTTTCTTCAGTTGGAAAGAAAAAAATATTCAGTCTGATGTCCACAAGGAAGAAAGGGAAAGCATTATAGGATGAAGGCCATTTTTTTACTGTTTTATGCATCTTCCCTGGATACTTCTGTTTGAACAATTAGAGAGTTAAATGCTCTCCAAGTACTTAAAAAATGTTTCCAGGGGGAGCAGGTAACCATGACCATCGCGTATCTTCAGTCATGTCTTTATTCAAATTTACAATTGTAATGGTGACAAAGATGTTATTAATTTATTTTTACTTTAGCAGAGAATAGGTTTATTACTTTTAGCACAACATGAAAAATGATTTCTATCATAATTGCAGAGTAACTACTTTATCAGATAGCAGGGGATCTGCACCAGTATGCAGAGAGCTTATCACAAAGCCAAATATTTGAAGAAATACTTTTTTGAAGAATCTGAGGCGGTATCTGAGACCTTGCAATTTTCATTGCAGCTGAAAGTTAGTTTTGTGAAATAATTTCCTGTTTTTCTCTGACATGTGAACTTCTCTATTTATAGTGACTTGACAAAAAACTCTTGACTGATCCTTATTCTTTCACTTACAGTAAATCTGCTAAATAGAGTTCTAGCAATTGCTGCACCTGAGAATAGACACATCCTGTTTTCAGAAGAGATTACTAGTTAATCATACAATGTTCACGTGTTTTATCATTTTGTCTGTCCTGCTGAGTAGTTGTTTTTTGTAGATGCTCTTCAGCACATAACACTCAGATTCTGCTCATTGTTAAATGTGATTTCAGGAGACAGAATGTTTTGTTTTTGTCAAAATCCCATGCATATGGGGTTCAATTACATATTACTTTATGAAAAAACTTATTTTTGAAGTCTTTTAACTTAGCATTTCCTTCCTTTTCAATGGTTAAGTTTGGAATCATCTTATTGCAGACCAGTCTTAATTATTTTTAAAAGCAAGTGTTCATAGAGCACCTTGTACTTTCAGCATAGTAAATGGCATCCGGGAAACAGGATAGGACTGTTTTCTTCTTGGTAATTCCCTTGTGTGAATGTACAAGAGTGAGAATAATGAAGTAAAATTCAGGACAAGTAGCTGATGGGTTTGATGCAATGTGTCATGCTGTCCTTTTAATGCCTGAAGGATCTGTATTCTTCATACAGTGAAGTATTTTCAGGCTCTGTTATGCTGAGTTTAGAAAACTGTGTGACTCTGATTTGCTTAAGGTTTCTCTCTAACTGGAGAAATGGAACTGTAGCCTTGGTTTGTCTGCCTTTGAAGTCCTGGTTGATGTTTCCCCAGGTGAACAAATGCTAATGCAATAGTGTTACTCATGATTTTAAGTTGGTTTACTCTTGGAAACTGCAGAATACAACACTCTCTGTCCAGAGGGCATATTTGTATTAATTAACTTGAAAGTTATAGGTAGTGGTCAACTTTAAAAGTCATTGCAAGTGAGAAATAGTTTCTGTTTTTACTGTGGAACAGACAAAATTAGTTTGAAAGAGAGGGAGAGCTGTTCAGAACTAGAACAAATAGTAAATACACAGCCGTCTTTACCGATGGTATTAACAATTCAGGAATACTTTTGTATTACAGCTAATGGGAAATTTCAGTGAGATAAAAGTAGAAGCGTTGAACAAAGAAGCTAGAAAAAAACCTGATGTTCAAGATTATTTTTATTTTCATTGGCTTTTAACTTAGAAATAGCAAAAATATCAAAGGTTTGAAAAACTCCATCTCATATGTCATGCTGAAAACTTTGAAAATAACTTTTTCTCCACTATGAACAGTCACTTCATTCAGTTTTGTTTTTCATATAATATTGGGATTCTCCTGGATTTTGTTTTGTCTTTTAAGAATATTAAACTCCCAGAAAGATGATTTAGATTTATGAGCAACAAATAATGTAAAAAAATCAATATATTGTAAAGCTAAAGAGGACTATTATAAACAACACTGAGATGCATAAATCTGGCCATCAGTATGTTCTGCATTAATCTCACTTTCTAATATCTCTTAACCTTAAAATTTCCATTGATGTAACACCTATATTTTTTTTATTTCTTCCTTCATTTCTAACAGAGTACTGCACCTTTGTAGGGTGAAGAGTTAGAACTTATAAGTGTTTGTGCTGTATTCCAACTCTGCTTTCTTCCTGTTTCTCTGTTGCAGATCTAAATATCTGACAAGAGCTAATTAGTTAACTTCAGTAATACAAATTTGATTTCAAAATAAGTATATTGTAAATTTGTCATTGCTGATAAGGGTAAGGAATTTAAATGAGGTAATTGCCTTGCGACCTTTTTATGTGGTTTATGCATAGCTTTAAATAGAAATCTGTAATGGCTTGAATCTGAGTTATTTGGTGGTGAAATTTTGTTATGACACTTCACTGTTTTGATATGCCCTGGAGTATTTTTTCTAGATCAACCTAGGCTTTCTTTTTCTTTTTTTTTTCTTTAAAAACCTTGGATCAGATTGTATGTGTGACATTTGACACTTTTTTGTGTTGGTCTACAGGCAGCAGTTAAATCAAAAAAAGCTACAGATACCTATAAACTATATGTGGAGAAATATGCTGCGTTTAAATCTGATTTTGAACAGAAAATGACAGAAACTGCACAAGTAAGTGTTATATTAAATGAACTACCTTTAAAATAAATTAATATATGCTATTTCATCTCTGAAGACATCTGAAATCAAAGCATTTGAAAAACAGGCTCAAAATAGGATGATCTCCTTTGGAAATTTATATGAACAATAATGTCAGAAGTAATATGTTTGAAGAGCAAACACTGACCACATATGTTGTGATGGCACTGTCTTTGAAAGACGCAGTTGAGCACTAGCACTCCAGAAAAACTTTTTGAAAAAGTAAGAAAACAAAATTAACTTATGAAACTATTGTAGATGAATTGTGATCGTGTGGGGAAGTCTGGGAAGTCTGCTGGATATCCAGAATTAATTCATAGGAGTTTTAATATTAGGATGCATCATATTTTTTTTTGTTATCATTCTGCCAAAACACTTCAGTTAGAGCATGTTAAAGCGTCTTCCTGGGGTTTACCTTGGGTTGTGAAAGCTCTTACAGCTCTTCAAGTTTCTGGGTTTTTTTTGAAGACTTTTAATCTGTATTCCAGAGGATATCAAGTTCTCTGTATCCTTGTATATGCTACTTCTTGTTATGTTTTAATGTTTCTTTTTTGAATCTGTTGATAGCAGACTTTTTTCAACTAACCCAGATTTCAAAAAGCGAACTTCATAATTTCTACTTTTAGTAGTAATAGTTAGTGGAGGACTGGCTGGCATATTTATTTATATATCACAGAATTGTAGTGGTTGGAAAAGACCTTTAAGATCACTGAGTCCAACCATAAACCTCCATAAACCTAACACTACCAATTCCACGTCTCAACCATGTCCCTAAGCACATAAGGTGACTCCACCACCTCCCTGGGCAGCCTGTTCCAGTGCTTGACTACCCTTTCAGTGAAGAAGTCTTTCCTAATCCGACCTAAACCTCCCCTGGCGCAACTTGGGGCCATGTTCTCTCGTTCTGTCACTTGTTTACCTGGGAGAAGAGACTGACCCCCAACTCTCTACACCCTCCTTTCAGGTAGTTGTAGAGAGCGATAAGGTCTCCCCTCAGCCTCCTTTTCTCCAGGCTAAATAAACAACCCCAGCTCCCTTAGCTGCTCCTTGTAAGAATTGTTCTCCAGCCCCTTCACCAGCTTCATTGCCCTTCTCTGGAAACGTTCCAGCACCTCCATGTCCTTCTTGGAGTGAGGGGCCCAAAACTGAACACAGTACTTGAGGTGCAGCCTCACCAGTGCTGAGTACAGGGGGGCAATCACTTCCCTGCTCCTGCTGGCCACACTGTTTCTGATACAGGCCAGGATACCATTGGCCTTCTTGGCCACCTGGGCACACTGCTGGCTCATGTTCAGCTGGCTGTTGACCAATACCAAAAAAAACTTTCCAGCCACTCCTCCCCAAGCCTGTAGTGTCACATGGGGTTGTTGTGACTCAAGTGCAGGACTCAGCACTTGGCCTTGTTAAACCTCATACAATTGGCCTCAGACCATCGATCCAACCTGTCCAGGTCCCTCTACAGAACCTTCCTACCCTCAAGCAGACCAACACTCCCACCCAGCTTGGTGTCATCTGCAAACTGACTGAGGGTGCACTCAACCCCCTCATCCAGATCATTGATGAAGATGTTAAACAGATCTGGCCCCAACACTGATCCCTGGGGAACACCACTTGTGACCGACCGCAACTGGATTTAGCTGCGTTCACCACAACTCTCTGGGCTCGGCCATGCAGCCAGTTCTTTACCCAGTGAAGAGTACATCTATCCAAGCCATGAATGGCCACTTTCTCCAGGAGAATGCTGTGGGAAAAGGTGTCAAAGGCTTTACTAAAGTCTAAGTACACTACATCCACAGGCCGCCTTCCCTCATCCACTAAGTGCATCATCTTGTCAAAGAAGGAGATCAGGTTGGTCAGGCAAGACCTGCCGTTCATAAACACGTGTTGACTGGACCTGATCCCCAGGTTGTCCCTCACGTGACACGTGATGGCACTTGGGATGATCTGCTCCATCACCTTCCCTGGCACCAAGGTCAGACTGACAGTCCTGTAGTTGCTTGGACCATCCTTCCAGACCTTCTTGTAGATGGACATCACATTAGCCAGCTTCCAGTCAGCTGGAACCTCCCCGGTTTGCCAGGACTGCTGATAAATGATGGAGAGTGGCTTGGTGAGCACTTCTGCCAGCTCCCTCAGTACCCTGGCCTGGATACCATCCAGCCCCATAGACTTGTGGATGTCTCAGTGGTGCAATAGGTCACTAACCATTTCCCCTTGAATTATGGGGGTGTTGTTCTGCTCCTTATTCCTGTCCTCTGCTGCGGGGGTCCATGTATTCAGAGGGCAATGCATATATGTTAGTTTAGTAAAGCCTTTACAAGATAGGAATTTTCTTTTTGTTTTAAAATTCTTTGCTCTTTTCATTAGTTTCAAAGATTAATTTTTAGGCATAGATGGATTTATTAAGGAGATTCAGTCCCACTTGCATTTTTAACATGTAAGTGGGGAAAATGTTAGTGTTTTCCCTAACCCCTTGTAAATTAAGATTGCACAGCATGGGGATTGTGTGGGCTGACATGTAAAAATATTCCTATCCTAAACTGTAAACTGCTTTCCTACTTCGAGAACTTCATTAGAATTTGCTCTAGTTAATCTCTGAATTGATACTCAGCACAGCTGTTAGAGAAAGGATACTACATATATCACATAGCAGAACTCTTCCCTCCCATCCCCCAGTCCAGGCTTTTGCAACAAAGAAATGCTCAGGCATGCTACTGTAAAATCCTGCTTTTAACACAATTGTTACATTAGGAGTCTTGACAGCCTTTCCTTGACGAGTATGCAGAAGGCAGCTTTTTGTGCAGTATCCTGATTGTTTTTTGTAGAGAGAGATAAGGTCTCTCTACAGTGCAGTTCCTGCACTGCAACTCAATTCTGCTTGAAGGAGCTGTGCTCCCTGTGCTTTTCAGTTTGAGTTAAATTTCGTTATGCACATTATTTTTTTTTCTCATTTTCTTCGACTTTTAAAGGCTTTTTGTTGTGGAGTGTAAAACAGCGATGATTGCAATTATTTAGTGGTATAAAAAGACTTCATTAGAAATAAAAGTTCAACAAGAAAATTGATGGGTTGTCTAGACCTTAAGGCTTGTACTTCTCTCTCATCTCTGATGTGTGAAGCTGTGTTTTCAATATATGTTTTAATTAAGTATTACTGTCAAAAGTAGCAGTTGTCCTATTTCCACGCTTCTTTTCTCAATTTTTTTGTGCAAGGAACTACCTTGTAGGACTAATCCATCTAAAACTAATGTTTGGAGGAAGGCTAGCTTTAACACAGAAGAAACCTGTGGTCTGGTTTATTAAGAGAGGACACAAGCATTTGCGCTGGCACAAAGGCAGAGGCAACGTGGTACCAAGGGTAGAGAGCTGCATCTTTAAGCTGGTTTAACATGTGACACTGGCCTGGACTCACTTGCATATGTGTCCACCTTACACATTTGCATGTGTTGCCTTAGCATTGTGTGTCTCTCACTGTAATTTAAAATATTTGCGTATCAGTTATCCCTAGGCAGTTTGACTGGGATTACAATTGGAATTGGCATGTGTGATTACAATCCCTTGAGAATTTTCGGACTAGGAAACCTTTTTAAACATAACTAATGTGTATCATAAAACCATTATTGGAAACGAGTATAATATAATAGCAATAAAAGAATCATTGTAACAATAATGTGTAACATTCTTCCTGGAGAGTTTCCAGAAATAAGAGTAGATGGAATCAAACTGACATGTGAACACATACTGCTGCTACCCAAAATGGTAACTTTTTTGTAGTGTTCCTGTTAATGTAACTATTGTATTTGCTCAGTCAGAGTTCCAGTAACTCCATCATTGTGTAGTTTGTATGAATTGCACTTTTTGCTACAAAGAAATCAAGTAATACCAGAAAAACACTGAACTGTTCCATTTATTTGTCTCAAGTTATATACAAGTGTGGATCTTCTGGATCAAGAAGTTCCTGCCTGTTTGTTATTTGCCTTGCTCTGAAAGTTAATGAACTCCCACTGAAATAGATTCTGCGAATGCTTCTGATCTCCTGAATAGCAAGTTCAGTCAGGTTGCTTTCAATCTTTATTTAGTCTTACAAAAGCTGTCTATTCCTTATCTTGCAAGAAGGAGACTGTTTATAGCAGTTGACTCATTGCTCTCTGAAACAATAAGAAAAAATTTAACAAATATGTCTTCAATAAGCTGGTGTTGCTGAATTGCACTGTAAATGTCCCTAGTGAGCAAGAAAGTTGTGAGGAATGAAAAGGAGTTCTTTTTTAGAATTGACAGAAGATAAGCAGGAAGAGTATTTGAATTGGATAACATTGACAATGAATTACTGAAGGAAAATATAGGGGCTTTCACCCAGCAAACTAGCTGGGCTTTTCATCGTGTACTAAAAAAACCCCCAAAACATTTGAACAATCCACTGCAACAAAAAAAATGAGAAATTAACAGCTTAATTTTTTTATCTAGAGACAGAATATGAAGGTGCTCTTTATTAAGTTTTCTTATTTGTGTTATTAGGTAAGTATTATGTATTTAAATCAGACTGAGATGTGGAGAGAGAAAAAATTTTTTTTACTGTGTCAGATCTTATAGCTGGGAAAACATCACCATGCTTTTGGGCTGCTTTGTTTTTTGGGGGGGATGGGGGGAGGGAGGGAGGAGTGGGCAGGGCAGGCAGTTAAGATCTTTTTTGATTGGGTTGGCTTTTTTTCCAATACAAAAATGCTACAAGGCTACCTCTTGCTACAAACAAACCACATTTGTCTAAATGTCCTTAGTTCCTTAACTGCAACAACCCTTTCACTGAAAATTAAAATTTTCACTTAATGTGGTCATGGGCACCTGGAAACTTTGCATACCTGTCCACATTGGAAAGGAAAATTGACATTCTGCCAGTGTAAGTCATATCTGTGGAATTTAAGTATATTGATGTAGCTGCATCTGCAGTTTGTTTACAGGAGGGCTGCATTTAAAGATGGTGCAATAGAAAAAATAACAACACACATCAATATGTGGAAGCCAGCTTCTATATGAAGCACACACTAGATTATCATAATTCAGTATACATTTCACTTGAAATATACTAGTTCTAAAAACAAAATTAGTGAGGAGTGTGACCATCCTCAGTTGTTTCAATGCAGTCAGTTGGCTTAGCTTCGATCACAGAATCACAGTATGGTTTGGGTTGGAAGGGACCTTAAAGATCATCCAGTTCCAACCCCCCTGCCATCAGCAGGGACACCTTCCACTAGACCAGGTTGCTCAAAGCCCCATCCAGCCTGGCCTTGAACACCTCCAGGGAGGGGGCATCCACAACTTCCTTGGGCAACCTGTTCCAGTGTCTGACCACCCTCACAGTGAAGAATTCTTCCCAATATCTAATCTGAATCTACTCTTGTCCAGTTTGAAGCCATTTCCCCTTGTTCTATTACTACCTGCCCTTGTAAAAAATCCCTTCCCAGTAGGGAGGACCCCTGTAGGTCCCCTTCAAGTGCTGGAACGTCACTAGAAATTCTCCCCAGAACCGCCTCTTTTCCAGGCTGAACAGCCTCAACTCTCTCAGCCTGTCCTCATAGGAGAAGTGCTCCAGTCCTCCTACCTAGTCTAGTAGGTCTATATCCTTCGTATGTTGGTGGCCCCAGAGCTGGATGCAGTACTCCAAATAGGGTCTCACAAGAGCAGAGGGGCAGAATCACATCCCTCAACCTGTTGGCCACAGCATCTATCTTGTACTGTTTACATACTGTTTTTCTGAGGAAAAACACTAGGTAATTGAGTAGTAACGTCCTGTCCTGGTTTTGCTAGGATAGAGTTAATTTTCTTCTTAGTAGTTAGAATAGCTGTGTTTTGGTTTCAGAGTGGGACTTGTTATGAGAAGAACATTGATAAAAGTACAGGTGTTATTAGTTGCTGCTGGAGCTCAAGGCCACCGTGTTTGGCTGGTTCACAGCTGCATTAGGACTGGGAGGGAGAAGCGCAGTGAACAGCAAAACCCCAAACTGGCATTTGGATGTGCCAGTGAAATATTCCAAATCATGTCACGTCAAGTCAGTATATTAACCAGGGCTGACCAGAAGATGGGGGAATTCTCTCGGGGATCACTTGGGCCTCACTCTTCCGGGGTTTGGGCTATGGATCTCTGCTCCGGGATCACTGGCTGGGACAGGCTGGGCATCAGTCAGTGGGTGGTGAGCAACTGCACTGGGCATCACTCATTTGTATATTCTGTTACCACTGTTGTTATCATTATCATTTTATTTTAATTAGTAAATAGTTTTTATCTGAACCCATGATTCTCCTTGCCCTTTTCCTTCCAATTCTCTCCCCTACTCCCTGGGCGAGTTGGGAGGAGGGTGAGAGAGCAGGCTGTGTTTGGCTGCAAACTAAAAGGGTGAAGCCAATTCACCATGCGTCCTCACTTAGCTGTCTTCTTTTCTTCATTGAACTCCACCGATCTTGTTGCATAAATTTTATGTCTTTTTCTTTTTTTGCTATTTGTTATGTTACCTGCAGTTGTCAAAGTGAAGTGACTCATGATACATGATTTTGAGAGGCTGAATTTTGAAACATATGATCTTCCTAATCTTGAATTGCAAGCTATGTTTTCTGCTACAATAAACATAGTAGGTTCACAGTTGCTTAGAGATTTGACAGAAATACCTCATGTTGAAAGATTTTTCTGAGTAAATCTATCGTATTATGCAGTTGCTGTGCAGTTGCTAAGAAAATATGATGGCTTATTTGCCAGATTTTCCACCTTGCTAGAAGTTTGGGTTTTTTTAAAATCACATAGCACAGTTAATTATTGGAAAGGATCAAATAGCTGAAAGTGCTAAATCATTCTTTAAAAGTTTTCTGTCTTATTTAGAACTGAGTAGAGTTGAGTTTGGATGATTTTGCTGTTGAGCAGTCTGCGTATAAATGAAGTTCAAGAATGAGTGATAATTAACTGTTTAAAAAAACTGTAAAACTTACAGGAAAACATACATGTTTATAAAAAGGAGTAATGCTTACTTAAACTGTGTATACTCAGTTGGACAGCTAAAGATCCTGTTGATGATGATTTTTCATTTATATTGTATTTAAAACACTAAGAAGTGGCTTGCACTTACTGGATTCACATTACAGATTCATTTTAGTAGGTCTTTTAAAAATGGACTGATCTTTCGGAAGTCAAAGTAAGCAATTTGGTTAATGATTATGTTTGTGATATGAATGATGTGGTTGTATTGTAGTACCTAGCTTTGTTCTTTGATCAGAACTGCTTTGTTTTATGTACTGTACAAGGCCAAGATGGCTCTACTTCAAAGACTTTAAATCTTAAGTATAAAGAATAAACAAGAAATAAGGAAACAGTTGGGGGAGGGGGATGCTTTCCACTGACATAAGAGAAAAAAATCTCTGAATGGCCAACTGTTTTGATATGCATTAAAGAGAAGAGTTTAAAGGAGACTGGTAGCTCTGTTTTGCAGAATTTTATGGGGAGCTCAAATCAAACATGAAGAGGCATCAATGGCATAATCTCAAGAGTTGACTTTGTGTTGAGGTTAAAATCAGGGAGTGGAAACAGGCACGCATTGGAAGCACGCATTGTGTACTTGTGTTGACACCCCAATAGTGATTGAGAGCAGATATTATAGAGATGGACCACAGAAGCAAAATAATATTGTTTATGTAATAAGGCAATAAGTAAATGAAGTAACATCATTAAGTAGGCTACAGAGGATGACCATATCCTCTGTAATTAAAAGGAAGGATGCTGCAGGAAAAAAATTAATTTAAATCTGCTTAATTGATAGCTAGAGAGAGGTATATAAGTATAGCAAAAGAAAGACTGAGAGTTTACCAGTTAGATAGATTAACTTGTCTGTATGGAGTTATGTTTGTGAATCAGTGTAGCAGAAGGTGTGAAAGGTGGAGAATCCTGTACAAATTGGAGAGAGGATTAAGTGGTGCTCCAAAGTTTGGAGGGCTTGAAAGGGCAGTTACAGAAATAGGAAGAGTAGGAGTAAAACAAAGATTTCAAAACAGTTACAGTTGACTGTTGGGGAGGATGAGGACTTTTTTAGTTCTGATCTTTGGCTAGGAAAGGGTCATTGACAACATTGGAATTATTTTAAAGTGACTGTCAGCTGGAAGTCTGGGTAAAATGGGACAGACTGAAAAGATTATATTCAGTGAGTTTAAAGATCAAAAAAATGAATCATATTTAAAGAAGCAAAGGATATAGATTTAACTACAAAAAGAAAAGCATGTGTATATTGTGGGTGGGAGGAAAGTATGCTAAGAAGGAAATGCAAAACAAATCCAGAAATAAGATTTCTGGGTTTCAGTTAAAAAACGAGACTCTAGTAATGGAGAGCAGCTTTTTTTTTTTTTTTTTTTTTTTTTTGTTTAAACACCCTGTAACCCATTTTTATTTTGGTAGAATTAGTGATTTTTTTTTTTTTAATCAAGATAGATGAAAATTTGACGAGTAAGTGAAAAAAATGAATAATAGTTCTAAAAGGATATATTAAATTTTAAAGTACTTTTTTTCATAACTGTGAATTCCACACCTTCTTTTCTTAAACATTCTAATTACCATGATCATGATCTGAAAAAAATAATTGATTTTTTTTTCATTTAGTGTATTTAATTATTAAAATTTGAGGTTTAGTATTTGAAGAAATATTTTCATTATGATCAATTGCTTGTATTGGTTTACAGAAATTTCAAGACATTGAAGAAATGCACCTTCTTCGTATGAAAGAGATTATAGAATCATTGTCAAATACCATAAAAGAAACTCATTTACAAATAGGAGAGGTAATTTTTATATTATCATTTGTTTGTTTCGAATATGCTACATATTCTCTTAAATGGAACTTTTCTTACTGTGTTTGTGGTAATTACAAGGTCACATCTTTCAAATTATGGTAAATTAAGAATAATAAATAAATTAATTATTTAAAATAATCAAATTTTTATTACTTCCTGTTGCATTTAAAAATTAGTATCAAAAAATTTACACAATAAGTCTGAATAAATTTTGTTGTAACAAAAAACAAAATATTTTGACAATTTGAAGAATTTTTATTGTATTTCAAAGTTCTGTTCCCAAGATATTAAATTAGCACTCATTTCTCATATAGTCAGGATTGTATTCTTTTCTTTGACTAAAACTTGAAATTATATCACTCTGAAAAGTTTCCAAATTTTTCATACACTTTGGGTTTTAGGAGTAAAAGATCTTCACTAACAGCTTTTATATCTTCTTTTTAGATGTAATTTGGTTTAATTAATACTCCTTGTAATTAGTCATTAATTTTTAGAGATTCTGAAATGTAGTTTTATTTGCCTACACTTAGTCACTACTTTTCCTAAATTTTTATTTTCGCTGCTGATGAATGATGGTCACAGAGGTCATGCTATTTATTTCTGAAGCATATACATACTACCTTGTTGGAAAAACTTGAAAACAACAACATGCGTCTGTTCCTTTGTCAGACCAAAAACGTTAACAGCAGTAATGCTTTCATGCAAGCAGGTGGGAGCTGTGATAATACAGTAGTAACAGTTCACACCCTTAACTGCTGCTGGCTTAAGACCTTGCTTGTCTTCCTGACCTTGTAGTGGGACATGTTGCTGGCAAACTCAGAAAATGATATATACACAAGTCATTTAGATGGAAGAAATGAAAGTAAATCCTAGAACCATCATCAGCCTGCATTCTTTCATTCCTAATTTATGTCTGTATTGTACACACACTTGCTAATACTAAAGCAGAGAAGGGATTTCCTTAATAAAATGCCTGTTTATTTCTAGAAGCCCTGTGGTGTACTTTAGAGGGAAGCATTTTGAACCTTGCCTCTAGTGAAAATCACTTTTCAAAGTTAATTACATTCTTTTAATTACTGTTTTTTAAATTCCTTTTGTATGTGTGGTGTGGTTTTTTTGAAGGTGCACGAAGAGTTTATTAATAACATGACAAACACTACAGTTGAGAGTTTAATACAGAAATTTGCTGAGTCAAAAGGAACTGGGAAGGAAAGACCTGGTAAGAGATTAAAAATAACAGAGAAGGAAACGTTAATTTTAAAACCGTAGATTTCCACTCTTAATAAAAGAGCAAACCCCTGTTTGTTAATGTGTTATATTTTTAATGTATAGACAATTTCAAATTCTCAGAATTCATTAGCTTTGATATTAAATGATGCATAGCAATTGCTAACACACAGTTTATGTGTACTATTTGTGTTGATAAAGCATGGCAATTTGCACCTCTGAGTCCCTGTGTGTAGACCTTTAAGGAAGCTTTTAAATTATTATGTTCCCTGGTACATCAGTGAAAGTTGTAAAGAGACTAAAGTTCCTTGCACAATGTGTTTGTCTGCTATGTGTTTCTACATAAATTGTATTTCAAGATTTTATTTAATATAAATTTATGGATATATTCAGAACAGATATCTATAAAGCTGCTTATTGAACTCTTAGAACAGTTGCATCAGTTTATTTGGTTAGCTTGCAAAATTTCCATTTTAATAGATTGTATTGTAGATTGTTTCTTGACTAAGCAGCAGATTGAGTAGTGCTTTCTGAAAATACTGCTTGTTGGGTGTGGTGTATAAGACTTGCCTGGACTGGTGTAAAAAGACAGTCTCACAGTACTGTCTATCTAGTGTTATAGGAAAATCTAAGAGTTCACTTTAATATTTGGGCATGAATAGAGTCAGCAGATGTATGAGTACAGAAATTCAGTAGTGCTGTTTTCTATTTTCTTCAGCATTGGTAGTTCTGACTAGCATCTCTGTCTTCTCTTATAGAAGCACAGAGGTTTTTTTCAGAACAAGGATGTACATTACAGAGTAAATCTTGAAAATTTATATTAAATTGTTAAATATTATTAATAGATACAATTCCTCTGTGGGGCGTTTTTAGTGTAACATTGTTTCGTATTTTTTCTGTGATCCACTCATCCTGATATCTGAGTGGAATGAGGTAGGACTGTATATGGAACAATTTTTTTGTGTTTCCTGTGTATTTTGCAATTTTTCAGTAAAGATTAAGAAAGAAAAGGTATGAACTTCAGGGATTCGAGTTCAGCTGATCTGAAAATCAGGACAAAGATGCATGAAAAATCAATGTTCAGACCTCTTTGACTAGCTATTGCTGAGGTGTCATGGCTAGGGATTTCCATCTTGCGTTTAGGATTCTCACTCCATGGGTTACAAAGACCCTTGCTAATCCTAGAGCACTGTGCCCTTCAAGTAATCCATGTTATTAGTGTGGGTTTTTTGCTAGGCAACATATTAATTATAAGAAAAGTAACACTTCACTTTGTAATTTAGCGGGAGAAGTTATACACACTCTGTACTTATTTGCCGCTTTACAGAGTTCTTCAAATCCCATTTGTATCGTCTGGGTCCAAATAAAAGCTTTTGCCGTAGCAAATTTCATTTCTTCAGCTCTTTTAATAGCACTGTTTTACAGTGTTATTATATTAGATAATCAACTTTGTAAAGCAGTCATGGTGCAAAGGGAAGGCATAGCCAAATTCAACAGTAAAAGAATCCAAACTCACAAGAAGTTGTGAAATGTCAAATGCTAGAAACACAGACTGCCACTGATGTTAATTACAGTTACCCCTTCTATTATATTCATTGTATTAACTTAGAATCATACTGCTTTGACAATTACAAAGGTTTGGAAGGCAAATTGAGGTATCAGCCTTCTAAGAATGAAATGGAAACATCCAGTGTGGTAAGGGCTGCTTTTTCTTGATTAAAAAATACTTTTCTGCATTTGAGAACTGTTCTTAATAGAAAGGTATTTTAACTTATGGAGCAAATGTTGGAAGTCTTTCTGTGTGTGATGTATTTATTAATTAGGCTGGAGAAGGTGATGGCTCCTCAGACAAATCGAAATATTCAATGTAAAGATGATACTGACTTGCCGTACAAAATAAATGTAGAAAAAATGTCTTGCGAATGTCACTGTTACTTAAAATTCCAGTCCTAAATCTCTTTGAAGGAAATACTTTAAAATTACCCAGGACTATGTGGGCCTTCTCCTTTCCATATTATTTGTGGGCTAGTATACTAAGTTATAGTAGGTGAGCTGCTTTCTGAAATAGTGAATTTTTAAAACAAAATAAAATAAAAAGGTAATGCATAACAAAGCATTTTAGTTTATTACAATATGTTCTAGCTATAGTTACAGTTCTTCATAGCAGAGTTTACTTGCTTTTATTTATATCTGTGAAAATAAGAATTAATCTGAAATGAAGTACTGAAGAGGGCTGTTTTATTGCATGAGCCATAAACCATTTGCAATAAAGTTCTCTAGATGTAGGGAATTGTTTTCTTAAACTCTCATCTGCATATCTGAAATTTCTCTTTGTACAGGGATGTCCCTTGTACCAGATGATATGGGCTCCCTCTGGTGGCTAATTTATGTTACTTATGTTAAGTCGTAATATAAAGGGGCTTCTAAAGTTTAGCTCTGTTTTTCTAGTACAAATAATGTTTCTTTCAAGCAGCACTGCTTTGTGAGGTTTTTAAATTTCATCAATGGACTTCTTTACAATGCCTCTTTTTTTTAACTGCTACCTAAATAACTTATCTAGTCAGCTTTGTTACCTACTTCTTAAATTTACCATTAAGTATTTTTTTAAAGTTTAGTTTATAGTTTACAATTTTTAGTAACGTGATATTTGAAGGAGTTGTATTTGTTATTTGTTTTCTCACTTCCATTCAGTGTAAAAAAAAAAATAGCCACATACATCCAATTACAACTATTTTAACTTTAACTGGAAAAAAAAAAATCACTTCTTGTGAAACATTGAAAAACAGAAAGAGAGCTGGCAGGAGCTGGTAATTCAGTAAGGTCAGAATTCAGGTTATAATTTAACATGTTCTCTGAATTGTTTCTAACATCCAGAGGGACCCACTCTAGAAGTGGGCCTATGTGATCTCGTGAGGTTCAACAGAACCAAGTAGAAGGTCCTGCACCTGAGTCAAGGAAGTCCCTGGTATCAGTACAGGCTGGGGTTGAAGGTATTGAGGGCAGCCCTGTGGAGAAGGACTTGAGGGTGCTAGTGGATGAAAAGCTGGACATGAGCTGGCAATGTGCACTCACAGCCTAGAAAGCCAACTGTATCCTGGGCTGCTTCAAAAGAAGCGTGGCCAGCAGGTTGAAGGAGGTGATTCTGCCCCTCTGCTCTGTTCTGGTGAGATCCCACCTGGAGTTTTGCGTCCAGTTCTGGAGTCCTCAGTGCAAAAAAGACATGGACCTGTTGGAGCAGGTCCAGAGGAGGACCACAAAAATGATCAGAGGGATGGAATACCTCTCCTATGGGGAAAAGGCTGAGAGAGTTGGGGTTGTTCAGCCTGGAAAAGAGAAAGTTTGGATAGACATTATTGCAGCCTTTCAATACTTAAAAGGGGCTTATAAGAAAGATGGGGAGGGACTTTTTAGTAGGTCCTGTAGCAATAGGACAAGGGCTGTTTTTTTAAACTAAAAGAGCGTAGATTCAAAGTAGATGTAAGGAAGAAATTTTTTACAATGAGGGTAATGAAACATGGGAACTGGTTGCCCAGAGGGGTGGTAGGTACCCCATCCCTCAAAACATTCAAGTTCAGGCTGGACAGGGCTCTGAGCAACCTGATCTAGTGGAATTGCAGGTTGGACTAGATGACCTTTAAAGTTCACTACCAACCCAGTCTATTCTCTGATTCTATGATATGTTCCTGCTGTTAGGTTTGATACCATCCGTTGGAAGATGCTTTTGTCACTCACATGGTCCTGCAGTGTTCATTAAAACTTATTGGCCACTTCTGATGAATCAGTTTTCTGTTTGATAGGCTGTTGCTCCATGTTCCTTGGCAAATTCATTTATTCCATGGCAGAAAATGTCTGCTCTTCTTCCACCCTAAGTATATGTTAAATCAGTAGCAGAGATTATGTCTATTCCAGATTAATGACATATCAATGAGTTCTAGCTTTATTTACTTAACCTTTTAATAATGTATTTAAGAATTTATTTGTTCCAGTATGAAAAGTTGTTGCCACATGAAATAGAAACTGCTTGGAAGTACGAGCTCATGTTCTTCTTAGATCTTCTCTGGGAAATTGGCAGGATAATATCTAATGTGTTTGAAGAGGTTAGTGTATGCCTATATAGCTGTAATTGGTCATGAATGATTTTTAATTTTTGATTACTGAATTGCTGTGCCCTCTTCTTATATGTGGGGAACTAACTGTGTGGGTTTGTCCCTGTATTAGTTTTTGCCCAAAATTTTTATTATAGTGCAGACAAAAATGAAAAGCCATAGTCTTTGCTGACTCCTTAGCCCTCCAATAAAACAGTGATCTGCAGATGGCAATTATTATGTACGCTGTGCCATTATTCAATGTGAGAGAGGCACTGGATCATCTTTAACTATAATTTAAAAAAAATTCTTTGGTTTTTGTGCTGACTTCATCCATCTTTCACAATATGAATAAGCTAGAACATGATTTGAAACTGCAATACACAAGTAAGCAGAGAAGATCTAGCAAAGGTAAATGCTCACATGCAAGTTATCTTTTAAGTGTACCAGTAAAAACATGGACTGTGGAGAACACAAGCCCATAAAAATACTTCTTGTCTCATTATCCATTCAATAAACTTGAATGGGTAGTGAAAAGTTATAGGAAACAGTTAAAAGTATGTGTGATATTAGAGGTGATGAGTCTGAGATAGATAGTTTCAGAATCATGTTCTGGTAACAGACAATACTGTGAATGAGCCACCTTGGACCCTGAGGTCCCCACCTGCCAGCCGGACAGGGAGTCATAGGAAGTGTGCTGCCTTCCAGGAGCTAAAGTTCAGGATGTTGCTGAGTGGGTACCTCAGGTTGTTAAGGGCATGGATTACTATCCGTTGTTACTCATTCACGTGAGCACAAATATGCTGCAACCCATAACCTGGGCAGAATTGAGAAAGACTACTGAGCTTTGGGGCAATAAGTGAAAAACTTTGGAGCCCAGGTTATCTTTTCCTCCATTTTACCAGTCAGAGGCACGGGAACAACCAGAAATACACCTATAGAACATATCAAGCTCTGTCTACGTGACTGGTGTTGCAGTGAAGCTTTTGGGTTTTATGAAAATTGAATGGTTTTTTTCTGACTGTAACCTGTTAGGGAGGGATGGGATCCATCCATCTAGAAGGGGCAAGGGGATCTTTGGCAGCAGGCTGGCCAACCTAGTTAAATGGGCTTTAAACTGAAGAACTTGGAGGGAGTGCGAGCCAAAATGCAGTACTCAAGCCATTACATCCAGCTGGGGAATCAGCTTGGCCAATCAGAGCAATAACAAATGTTCCTCAGCTCTTTGCTGTGATGAGAATCAGGCGGTCTTCCCCCTTCTACAGTTAAAGCTGCGTGCTCAACTCCCTCTCTGAAATGCCTGTACACCGATGCATGCCGCATGGGGAATAAATAGGAGGAATTAGGTATGTATGTGTGGTTGAAGGGCTATGATTTAATTGCAGTTATGGAGATGTGGTGGGATAGCTGACATGACTGGACTGTGGTCATGGATGGCTATGTCCATTTTAGGAAAGACAGGCCAGCAAGGCAGGGTGGTAGAATTGCTCTTTACACGGGGGAGCAACTAGAATGTATTGAGCTCTGCCCAGGGGCGAATGAGAAATGTGTTGAGAGTTTGTGGATAAAAACTATGGGGCAGGCTAATATGGGAGACACTGTTGGGGCTGTTCATGACAGGCCAGCTGATCGTGATGAGGAAGCTAACAAGGCTGTCTACAGATTGTGAGTAGCCTCATAATCACAGACTCTGGTTATCATGGGAGACTTTAATTACCCTGACATTTGCTGGAAAGGCTACACAGTGAGGCACACACAGTCTAGGAGGTTCCTGCAGTGCATTGACAATAACTTTTTGACACAGATGGTAGAGGAGCCAACAAGGAGAGAAGAACTCCTGGACCTTGTACTGATAAACAAGGAGAGACTGGTCGAGGAGGTGAAGGTGGGGGGCAGACTTGGCTGTAGTGACTATGAGATTGTGGAGTTCAGGATCACATGCAGTGGACACAGAGCAACAAGCAGAACCGCAGCCCTGGACTTCAAAAGGGCTAACTTTGGCCTCTTCATGGAGCTGCTTGGAGAAATTCCATGGGATAGGGCACTAGATGGTAGGGGGGCCCAAGAGAGCTGGTTAATATTCAAGCACCATTTCCTCCAAGCTCAGGATCAGAGCATCCTGAAGAGTAAGAAATCAAGTAGAAGAGCCACTACATCTGCATGGTTGAGCAGGGAGCTACTGGATAAACTCAAGTGGAAGAAGGAGGTTTATAGAACATGGAAGAAGGGGCTGACCACTTGGGAGGAGTACAAGAATGTTGTCAGAGGATGTGGGGATACAAGTAGGAAAGATAAGGCCTCCTTAGAATTAAAGCTGACAAGGGAGGTCAAGGACAACAAGAAAGGCTTCTTCAAGAACACTGGAGGCGAAAGGAAGACTAGAGGAAATGTGGGCCCACTGCTGAATGAAGTGGGTGCCCTGGTGACAGAGGATACAGAGAAGGCAGAGTTACTGAATGCCTTCTTTGCCTTGGTCTTTACTGCTAAGGCTGGCCTTCAGCAGTCCCAGACCTTCAAGACCACAGAGGAAGTCAGGAGAAAGGAAGACTTTGCCTCAGTTGAAGAGGGTTGGGTTAGAGACCAGTTAAGTAAACTGGACATCCGCAAATCCATGGGCTCTGATGGGATGCACCCGCAAGTGCTGAGGGAGCTGGCAGAAGCTGCCTAAGCCACTCTCCATCATATTTGAGAAGTCCTGAAGAACAGGAGAGGTGCCTGAGGACTAAAGGAAAGCCAACATCAATCTTCAAAAAGGGCATGAAGGAGGACCCAGATAACTATAAGCTGGTCAGCATCACCCCCAGCCCTGGGAAGGTGATGTAACAGCTTGTTCTTGGAACCATTTCAAAGCATGCTGAGGAAAAGAGGGTTATTGGGAGCAGTCAACATGGATTCATCAAGGGGAAGTCATTCTTGACCAACCTAATAGCCTTTTATGATAGCATAACTAGACAGCTAGATGAGGGGAGGGCAGTTGATGTGGTCTGCCTCAACTTCATCAAGGCTTTCAACACTGTCTCCCATGGCATCCTCACAGCCAAGCTTAAAAAGTTTGGATTGGATGATTGGGCAGTGAGATGGATTGGGAACTGGCTGAAGGACAGAGCTCAGAGAGTTGTGGTCAGTGGGGCAGACTGTAGCTGGAGGCCTGTGGCTAGTGGTGTTCCCCAGGGGTCAGTACTGCATCCAGCCCTGTTCAATGTATTAATCAGTGACCTGGACGAAGGACCAGAGTGTACCCTCAGCAAGTTTTCTGATGATACAAAGCTGGGAGGAGAGGCTGACATGCCAGAAGGCTGTGCTGCCATCCAGCGAGACCTGGACAGGCTGGAGAGTTGGGCAGGGTTAAGAAAAAAGGGTTAAGAATAACTGTATTTACTCCTAAGAAATTTTACAAACAAGTTGGTCCTTTCCTAGAGATTGAGAGGCAAAACAAGGGCCATAGAGTATTGAAGTTTGCTTTGATTAAAGCTACTAGCTTTTTATGTGCCTGAATAATGAACTCTGTTTTGAGAGAAAGACTTGAAACATTTCTGGGTGTTATTTTTTCCATGGGTTTGTTTGATAACCTGATAGTTCGTAACATTTATAAAAATGCTTTTCTCGGACACTGAACAGCAACAAAGTAGATGGAAATAAAAATTGAAAATTGTTAATACTAATTTTTGAACAGCTCTGCATGACATCTTTGAGCTGCTTTCCTACAATGAAGTGTAACAAAACCAGTATTTATTTTATGTTCTTATAAATTATTTTCTTTATATTTTCTGTAAATATTGTGAATACTTTAATGCTGCCAGCACTTGTGATTAGATGCATAAATAGCCTGAAGTGTCACAGTTTCTCAAAACCTGTGCCCACACATAATTCTAAACAGAAGGCTGACTGAGGAATGAGTTTAGTTTATCAACACTGACAGTATCCAAGGGATTCAGAAAAGTATTAGTTGTAAAGAAGTAAATGGAAGAAATTAAGTGTGGATATCTTTGAGGATTTTTATGAGAAGATGGACTTGATGCAGAAAAAAAAGTATTTAAGGGTCCTGTGCTGTAGAGCTGTTTTCAATGAGGATCTGCAAGCTCAAGAACTGTACCTACAAATCTGTTGTAATTCCTGTCCTAGATGTCTATTTTATTTTGCCTGCAAAAATTGGGTCTGTAATTATTCATAAACAACAAACCTGCCAAAGCTGATGTGGACTTAAGGAGGTCAGACAGATGTCAGCATAGATTTTTAATAATTGCATATACCTAGGTTGCAAACTTGTTTTAGATTGTGATTTATTTATTTTTAATGGTCTAGAGAGTTATGACTTAAAAGTTTTGTTCAAAAAGACTCTTAATGAAAGTGGAAGACTAGTAGTGTTCATGAAAATACTTCAGACCATATCTGTAAATACAACAGGGCAAAAGCTGGATTTTGAATGAACTTGGACACTCAGTAAGATGAAGCGCTATTGGATGCTCTAGAATTTTCATGCTACAAACAAAAGCAGTTGCAGCCTGAGGCAAATAATTTTGGGGGGCTGTGGGAGCAAAGCAATGACCATTTCAGTAACTTATTTAGGAAAAAGATATTAATTACGTGATAGTCATCAGAAAATGCAGTACTATAGTATGCAGGATAGGTGCTACTATGTTAATAAAAGTAATTATTGAAGAGCTTGTAAAGGTCTGAGAGCAGAAATAACATAGATGTGTTTTATGCTAATAAAGTAAATAAGGCCTGTACTTTAGTTACATAAAGTAGCATAACCTTATATGGAATTAATATTGAGTGAAAGGTTTGAGGATTTTGATTTATTTATTGGAAACATATTTTTATTTTGAGATAGGAATTGTTCTTTGGACAGAATTAAATAGACCATTAACTAAATGGACTTTTCAAACATTAAATTTTCACAGGAAGCGTAGTTAGCAAAGTTAGAAAGATGTGTATCCTTTTCTCTGTCTGTTTTTGGTTTTTGAGGGGGTTTTTTGTTTGTTTTTTCTATCAGAAGTTAAAGCTTACAGGAAATGAAACTTTCTTAAATCTGGAAAGATTTGGAAACCTGCTTATAAATGTCTGTACCTGTAGTTCATTCTTAGTAGTGCAGTGTTTGTTAGAGAAGAGCAATGGCTTGAATCTTGTAGCACAAACTTTTTTGAGGAAAAATGTGGTTTTAATCTAGGGAAGCAAATACAAGAAGCTAAAGTCAGACAAACTCAAAACCACCTGTCTTGTCTAATAGTCTGCCTTTCTAATAAAACTGAAATAAAGCCCAAATTGTGCATGTAATAGTCTATCTAGTATTAGTGGTCACTAAGTTGTGTTGCACAGGGTCCTGCTTCTAATTAGTTCATAGTTTCACTGACAATAATACTGCAACATGATAGTACATTATACTAGGACAAACTACTATTGGGTAACTTCTGCATTGAATTGACTGCCTGGTCAGACAGATCTCTATGAAATGCTCTTTCTTGAACACAAATATTTCTTCTGGCATTTAAAAATGAATTATCATTTGAATTGCATTTGACCTTGTGTGTCCATGGTGGTTCTCAAGAAGTGCAGGATCTTTTCTGCTTTGTCTTCATTATCTTTTTGTTGTTGTTGCCTTAGCTGCTATAGATTACCTGGGTGGCTTTCTGTGTCAGTAATTCCATTTTAAATTATGGATGTTGCTTGTCTGCATTTTGGCAGTGTAAGGTGCAGTGGGGTACCACTTGACCTGCTGCCTGAATAATATGAGGACAGGAAAAAAAATATCTAAGCAGTAGCTAATAAGGCTAGCTGCACAAACCCAAGCCCTGGTTTAACCATAACAATAAAATTTCAAATTCCTATCTTGTATTAACAGTGCTTGTAATTTAAATTCTGTGTTTAAAGATTAAATGAATTTATTTTGAAGGTTTTTTTCTATTGGTTGGTTTTTTTCATGGGAAAAAGGGTATCTAGAAAAACAGTGTAAGAAACGCTGTTACTATCATTAAAACTCTTCCTACTATTGTTAAAACTCTTTCTAAGCAACTTGGTTTCAGAGAGTCCCTCTCTATTTTACTGTCATAGCCGATACAATCCTTCAGAGGTTTGTGTAGTTCTGTATCATTTTTGATAGCCTGGTTCAGGAGGAACAGACAAGGAGTGGAAAATCAGGGTCTTGTCACGTGGATTTGTCCTCTTTGCAACTACTAACTTAGGTACTGTTATGGATAATATTGGATGATAGTATGCATATTTTGTGTTTAAACGCTAAGACATATTTCAAGGTCAAGCCTGTACTGTCTTGGACTCCAAGTAGCTTTTTGGGCATAAATGTGGAGAAGGGTGATTTTGCAGTAATCCTTAATAACATGTCTCTCAATGTTATTCCTGTGGTTTCAACTTTCTCCTCATCCTTGCCATAAGCTGCAGAAAAAGCACACCAGGAAGAATTTAACATTTACTTTCTTTGCTTATTGATGGCACATGTATCTTAACCTCTGACTATTTAATGGATTTAAGTTCAGAACTTCAGTAAGAAACTATACCCCTCTTGATTTACAGGGACAGTATGTGACCATTAAAAAGACATGATTTTTTGAAGCATTCTTTAAAGATGAGGGTTATAATTTAACACATTTACAGTGTCTAGTGCTCCAAAATACTAGCTGACTCTTCCTTAAAAAGAAAACTACTTGAATGTGTCTGGACATTTCTTTCATCTCCGCATACTTGCATGGTCTGTCTTCAGCAGGTGAAACATGCACTGTGCAGTTGGGCAGAGCCATTTGTTACAGATACTTATATTTATAGACTAGGCTTATGCAGTTCTGCTTCTTAGTATTTTTACACACACACACATATAGATTTGCATAAGACTTTGCTACTTGCATCCCAATTTGACAGAGAATTAGAGGTTCCAGGCTTCACAAAAATGAGGAGTCAGATAGAGAAGGACCCAAACTAGTCATGCCATGTAAGGCAGAGGCAGTTCTAATGAGGTAAGTTACTTTTTTGGATAGTCAGTAGACATTTGAGTGTGTTTGTATGTATGTGTGTATGTTGGCCAGCCACTTAGCCTGTGGATAGTTCAAAACCAGC